CATAACTTAGTTGGTTATACTAGAGCGTCGCAACGGTGTCGCGAGGTAAGGGGCTCAAATCCCGTTAAAGTCCTGAATTTTTCAGGTTCAGGCTTCTAAGTATAAGCAATTCATTCTTCATGTAAGCTCTTTAAGGTGACAATTTCATGCAAATTCCCAGAGAAAAGCAAAAGCGTGGTATTTTCCCCACCTTTTCCCAACTTCTTAAAGTCAAAGTGGGGCTACTAAGTCCGAGGTCCAAAATAGAAAGGGGTGACGGTACCCTGGAATTCACATACCTGGGAAACGCGAACCTTATGAGCTCTTATTGTGCTTCAATCTATCTAAATCCGTCCGACACTTTTTTCCACCGTCAAGTTGTGGACACGGAGCATCTTGCTTAGACGAGGACGAGAGGGATACTCTGCGATTCTCAGGTGCCTCTGTTTCGAAGTTCACGGTTGCGGGCAAAATAAAATCGCTGAGAACAAATACATCCACCGGGTCCCAATAACACACCTCCGAAGCTTTTAAAGCTAGCAGGCGAAGATAGTTCCGTCAATTTGATCGATCTTCAGCCTAAAAGAACAAAAGCAGGGGCGGATCTAGGGAGAGGGTGCAGGGGGTGCGCACTCCCCCCCCCCCCCTTGAGACGATCTGCGGTTTTCTAATACAACTGGTATTCTGCAACAAAAAAAACCATGTGGTTTATTGGTGTTAAAGTAGAGCAAGAGACGAGTGCACCCCCTCCTAAAAAAAATCCTGGATCCGCCCCTGAAAAGTGTGTTTAATAGTTGGAAAACTGTAACGCTCATTTTAGTATGATGACGAAGCGGGTTGAAGTAACGGTAAACTCATCGTTACCAAATAATCCAGTGTCGGAGAAACAATGGGCATATCGATCATGCAGGATATTCAACTGAACTGTTACTAACACGCCTTACTCGAAACGTGGCGGGAAGAAAACAGTCCCATTTTCGAAAATAAGCTGCCATTTACGATGCAAACTACCACTAAAACAAACTCCGATTTTCAAATCAAACTTACCACCCGGGTTACCATTTGTAGTGGAAAGTAACCGTAATTTTTCCGAAAGCAATGAACGCAGATACATAATCAATGCTTACCTCTAGTATAAAGCTGAAGCCATCCACCCAACCTGATCCAACCTCCTGCTACGAAAGCTATTCTGTTTCAGTCAGGTCTAGTGCGGTCATGTAGAGTTATAGACACCATACGGCATTTTATATCCAAAATGAGCGTAATAAACATATCCTATAAACAGGCGGGTCTGCCGCCGCCGTCCGCCGGGCTTCCGCACTCACTACATTTCTTGCTGCTGCTGTAACACTTATTTTACAGTGACCGTCTGACGGCGGGGGTAGTAAATTTGGCAGTTGACCGTGTTGTGCTTTTGAAAAGAAAACTTACCATGATTTGTTTTTTGGCAGCCTATGTGTAAGTTAGTTTTTTGAACAACTTAAAAAACCCTTTAAACAAGATCATGCTGAAATTAATTATGGTCCTAGTGTGGGTTAGAGTAACCTGCTATCAGGCTTTCTTTTTTTTTCCCAAAGAAAAAGGGAAGAAGGACCGCCGGATCGCAGGTTAGAGTTACAGACGTATGATTTTTCAGACTATTATGGTCCCATTGCAAGAGAGAACTTTCTTGACTTATCTGACCCTTAAATCCTCAAAATATGCGTCCCATTCTTGAAACTCTATTGAAAATGCAACTCCGTGGGAGAAAAAGGGGAAAAACGGGGTCAAATAGGAAAAATATCGTCTCTCCCGAGACTACACTCGCTTCGCTCGCCCTTTTTTTTTAACGCCCACGCCGATTTCTTTCTCCTTTTTCCTGCAATGCTGAGCCTGGTCCCCGGATAAACTCCATTCAGAAGTCAACCAGCCATTAAAAGGCGACCCCATCCAATAGTTGGCCACTTTCTTAGGGGGTCCTCACCGTCTGTTGAAAGTAGCGGTAAGACCGATCACAGCACACTGCCAGATCTGGGAAGTGCAATATTTCGCGCGCGACTTAGCTCCAGAAGAAACATCAGAAAGGATCTCGAAAGTTGAAGACTTTACAATGTTTTTAGAACAAACTAGTCAGTTAACAGGGGCACCCAACGAGAACATTGTTAAACGCATCGTAAATGCCCTTGGGTTTTGGCATCTTGGTTTTAAGAGGAATAACATTCACCTCCAAACTGCGGGTTACAAACATCAGAAATTACAAACGCATTGTATAACTGACTTTTATAATATCAAACTTTAAGTTTCGTCGGTTTCAACGTTCGTGTTCAGAAGTGATCGTTAATATGAGTAGTAACTAAGTTTAAATCAAAGAACAAAGTAAGATAAGTAACTTGTTAACTTGAAGGGAAAAAAAATGTGACAGTGATGAGAAAGTATGAGAAAACTTGCATAAAATTATGCAAACTAGTGTAAGCAAAGCTTTTTGATGCTTATATTTTCATTATATTTAAATCCATTTCCATTTGACTTTTCTATTTCGGCGCCAACAATTGTATGTCATGCGAAACCATTCTATTTCATGCAGCACTATTTGGTTTGTCTACCTGCACTTCAGTCTCGATTAAATCATTATACACTGCATTGAATCATTTGCGTATGACTTAAACCGTTTGTAAATGAATGCGTGAATTCTTACTTTACTCAAACCATTATGCAACAGAGCAGCCGACCGTTCGTATCAAGCTGGATTGTACTTTAAACAAATCGATTCTTGTTTGGTGGTATCGTTTAAGTCCGGCTTTAAGTATCTTGGTGGCGCATGCAGACGTTCACCTTCATTCAGACCCTGAGATAAGGCGGGGGCGGGCGATCTCCAAAACATTTTTTCGGTTCCTCAGGCCTCGGTTTGGTCCGAAAAGAAGGAGGGCGGCCCCCCCGGGCCCCTCCCCTAGATCCGCCACTGCATCTACCAATGAACAGCTTCTCATCTGACTAAATCGTTTGTAGTTTAGATGAACCATTTCATACCCAAAAAAAAACGGACTGTTTTACTTTAAGAATGATCATTTCTTTACTATTTGAACCATTTCGTAATTTATCCCTAGACCATTTGCGTTCTGTCTGCGGTATTTGACATGATTGTGCTTTTGGTAGCAACGGCCGCCCATTGTCAACACTTTGACTTCTGCGATATTCTTAGGTTCGGCAATTCTCCGATAATCGGCACCTGTGCTCTTGCGAATAATGTGGGACAGGAACGCGTGACGAACCCCTAAGAACGTGGGAGCGTGGGAGGCTGAACCATCCAGTGGCACCAACCACGAGGTTGCCAGTGACACATGGTAACCGTTGCACATCCCCATTGGCCTGTTAAGAGGCATAAAGTACCGCCCATATGACTTTTATGGATAACGTAAAGATCAGGTTCAACAGCTGTCCAATGATTGAGTCACAGCAGGGACCACAACTTTGTGACGTTGTAAGTAGAAAAAGCAGGGAAGGTAGTACACTCATTTTGGACATTTCAAACGGAGTCAAGCTAGTATTTGGATTAGTTCATTTTGCATTCGCGTCCTTCACATTTTCAGATGAACATGGCTGACGACGATGTCATCGAACAGGTACGATCTAAATAATCTTGACACTTCTGCTTAATTGAATTGACCCAGAAATGATTTAACTGCATAAATTAGAACTATTAGTTTACTACTGTGTTTAGCTTATCTCGATTCCATTCAAGTGTGACATCAACTTACAACTACAGAACTTCAAATTCTCATTAGGCAAGATTCAGCGTGATTAAATATATGTGTATGGTATATTCCATAGGTAATGTGATGCAAAAATATTAGCATTTACTTGTTGGTCCGCCCCTAAACTTAAGTATGCGTTTGTTGCCACGTGTTCCTGGCCATTCCGGTTGATGTAGTAATCGATTTGGGTAGAGAAAAAAAACTGCATGCGGCCAAAAAAGAGGTGAAGGAAGGACGGATTCGGCGTACATACACATACTCGGTACAACTTACAAGGCCGGGTTGCCGTTGGCACTTTTTTCTGAGATCTTGAAGAACTGTGATTCATTTTTGCAGATCAAGTATGGCAACGTGTTTGGTGGTGTACAAAGGAAAATTTGTTTTGGAATTTCTGTTTTGCGGAGAGATATCCATTGTTAGTTCTTACTTTAATTCGCCATTGCAAAGCAAACTAAAACCAAGCGCCTCTGTTGACCAAAAATGTCACCACTACTGTCAGTCAAGCCTCAAATGTTGAGTTACCCGTAACAATAAGCTTCTTCAACGTAAATCCCCCTCGATCCGTAGTTAACGCAGAGATCATATTCTGAAAACAATAATTCAAATACGGGAATTACGTTTTCCTTCTAAATGTTGTGCTTGGCAGTAGGACAATTTTGGCGTGATAAAGCCGGAAAAGTTCTATGAAACATACTAACAGACTTTCTCGCCTTTGTGACCGGAAACTCGTGCAAAGTTGTATACGCCATACAGATCAGTTACGCATATTGACAGATTATAACAACATAAATAACAATAGGGCCATTTATACGAGGAAAAATAAGACGCGTCTTATTTTAGACGAAATGTGCCGTTTATACGGAAAGTTCGCGTCTTATTTAAGACGCGTCTTATTTTTCCTCGTAATAATGACTGATGTGTATATTTAAAATAACCCTGCGAGCAGTGGATTCCACATGACGGAAGCTACCGTAATAGTTTTCCCCCCTGAAATGGTAACCATTGTGGTCTTTTCAGAAGCTTCATCCTTGATTTTGAGTCTATAATTCAAAAGCAAAAGGGGAATTTTGGTTTACTGTTTTAATAGGCGCGATAGGCCTAGCTTTAATTTAACCCGGGTTTCTTTTTCTTTTGTTCAAAAGCATTTTCTCGGATAATTTTTTCTGTTATTTTTGAGAGCATCCAACCATCAACTTGTTGACTCAGACTAAATTTACTTTTTGGGCGTTTAGGTTGCGTTGGTGATCACGTGATGCTTCCTTCCCGTCACGCCGTTCGAAAATAGAAAACCTTGACTTGAATCTTTTTGGATTATTTCAGGAGGAGGTGGACGATAGTCCACCTTTCAGTATCATCGACGGGGCAACATATTTTAGGCGGAAAAAGGAATGGCATTTGTTTGGCGATTTTTCGCTGAAAATACTCGGGGAGATAACGGATGGTGGTTTGTGGGTGTGCGCCTTCGGGGCTCGCGTGCTTGGAAGGCATGTTGAAAGGTGAGCTTAAATTTTTTAAAATTTGATTCATGCCTGCTATTATTACATCCGCGACTAACCTCGCAGGAGGATGTTAGAAAAGGTTTACGCAGGGAAAGAAAACTATTAGTGTTGAAGGTGCTTTAACCCAGTTATTCTAGGGGCATGCTCTACCAGAAAAGGTAGGGTTTGGAAAAAGTACTGTTTGCTGGGGTGAGGGGAGGCACCATTCCGTTTAATATCCAACCCCCCCCCTCCCCACCCGATGTGGATGATGTTCATTTTTCGGTAGTCTTTCAGAAATAATATTATACCCTAACCCCCTACAAATACCTATGGATGAGTTTTAAAAAATTGAAGCCCATAAGAAATACCTATCGATGAGATCAATTTATGAAAGGCCTTCAGATTATGAAAACACGCATGATTTCTCCTGCAACCCATATTCATGTTTTAGGGAATCCCTCAGATAATCTCGTCCATGGACGGAGCAGGCGGGGGGGGTGGATATTAAATGGAATGGCCCGAGTTGACCAGCTTGCATTCTGAAAGGTAGACTTTGATGAATTTTGGCCTCTCGTATCTTTCCGAACTCAGCATGGGGCTGGTCCCTACATTACATTACCCAATTCATGCATCAGCAAACCAAATACCTGTAACAGACCATCAACAAAGTCAGGTCTCCCCAATTTAGGAGTAGTAGAGTAACACTGCAGTACTAACTGAGCTTATGTCTTTTAGTTCTTAATGAAAGGAAACTGGATTGTTATTATGGGTTATAAATAACAATATTATACTGTCAGTTTATGTTTATGTTTTCGTTTTGTATCCTTAGGAGAATTGTTATTCCAGCAAGTTCCTTCGATGGGAAGGTGAAGTTCCTTGAAAAGACAAGGAAAAGTTTTGGAGGAGGCACCTTCAACATTAGTGAAGGTGCCCTTCTCGAAAGTTATTACTCCTTTTTAAAGGAGGAGTATTACGAAGGAAGGCCCAGGCAGTACTATGCTGCTGAGTGCATTGGCTTACAACCACACACGAGTGACTACTGGTGTCTTTCAAAGGAGGTATGTTATGTTCAGTGATATGCGTTAGTATAGACTTGCCCACAAGTCGAGCTCAAAATTTTTCTCGAGCACAAAGCGTGAGCTTCACGTTGGGGACCACTACCGTAATGAGAAACGAGAATTGACGTACTTTGAGAACTGCATGAAAACACAAACTGGATTTTAATAAGATGCTATTTGGTTTGGACCATGTTATAATATACCAAAATAAAGTGACTGAATCTTTGCTAATTGTAGATGAAACAGAAGCATGAATTGTAATAGTGATATTTTACCATTTCTGTGAAGAAACCTTGATTCATGTTTGATTTGGTTGTTGTTGTGTTAGATTCACCTGCAAAGTGGTGTCATACGACCCAAAGAAACACAGCGATTCCTTTTTACGAGTGAAGCATTGGAAATGTATGAAGTTCACATCAACCGTGCTCTTTTGGAAGACAAGAAGCACTGCCTTAATGTTTGTAAAAGGTCAGATAAATTACTGATGTATGGACACAAAATAGTGGGCCTAGGGAAAATTCAAATGAAAAGGCCATTGTCTGAGTGTTATACCCTTTTAACTCTAACACCCCTTAAGAGGCTAAAAACATCCTTGTTTGGTATGTCCAGATGTTGGATGATCATTATGCATTTCAGTGATTAGCTTTGTGATTTAATACGAACATGTACTTGAGCTGACAATTTCTGTTCGAATAGTTATAATAGGTAATATGTAATAATTGAAAATTATTTCATTATTTCTAACTGTTTAATTAGTGGATGTTAGGATTGTGAAGTGACCATATATCCATTGACCTTATTCATTTTTGTGTCCGTAATAGCTGTTATGTACTTTCATACAATAAACTTGCCACCAATTTTTCATTGTAACAGGTTTATCGATGCTTCTACTGTTTTTGGAGTCAACGAAAGCGCAGTTAAACTGGCCACAGGTTTTATGTTGCTGAGAATTCTGCGAATAAATGATGAAGAATCATGGAGTAAGTATACACTACAGGTCAAAATTTAATTCAGGATAATTTTTTTTTAACCTAGCTTCATTCTCTAATTCCTTTGTCTCCTATTCCTAATTATTCATGACTTTAAGGGCTAGGAAACAAAGGAAATTATAGAGGATCAACTTCGCTTAAAAATTTCTAGCATCAACTTAATTTTAATTTGATTTCAAGTTAATTTTGATTTAACCTAAGTTGATTCTCAATTTCCTTTGTCTTTATTATTCGTGAAAATAATAGGGCTAGGAAACAAAGTAAATTGAGAATCAACTTACCGTAGGTTGAAACAAAATTAACCGCGAAATCAAAAGTGACCTGTAACATATACATTGTTCATATTTTAAAGTGCCCACTCATGAGAAGTGACTAACAAAAAATGCAACCAACAAAGTATGGTTGACCACTTAACAGGCCAGCGGTTCTTTTGATAGTGAAGTACTGACCAATTTTGTCCTAATCCTCAGAACCGTTGCAAATGACTCTTCTGTAAATGTTTATCTACAACAATGCATGGTGACCAAGTCCTCTTTTGAAGATCCTGGTACAGAAAAAAAAAATGCCATTTGAAATATAAATATGCAACCTTCCTGAAAAGGATAATTTATGGCAATAATATGATTGTAGTCTGCAGTCAGTTTCAATGTTGACTGTTGGTCTTTTGATGAACTTATTCTTTTGCAGATGAAAGTTCAATTGGTCTTCTTTATTCTTCAATCGAAGAACGAAATGTTGGGAAGTCCCTTACATTGGACTTGCTGGCTAAAGGTCAGGGCATAGCCACCCGCAAACACCCAACCATGCTTGCGGGCGGTGATCAAAATCAATGTGGAGCATCAGTGTAAGTCATGATTACTGTAAATGACCTAATAAATGACAATGGGTCCAAGCATGGGTGGTTAAGTTAGGAGGTGGTTAGAAAGAGGCGTTTGTGTATATAACTGTAAAAAGCTAAAAAAACTAATGTGCTTTTTGCAAAAATATTTAAGAGAGTAAATAGCAGGATATCCACTTCATAAAAATTCATCGATTGATATGTCTAGGTTGTCTAGAGATCCATATTGCTCTTTCAAATCCCAACACCGATAATGGAATACTCCCTCAGGATTACTTTGAACTCAACATAAAAAATAAAACCTATGACCAAGAAATGCAATTTTGTATACATGACCTATTTAATATATGCTGAGATTATTATTTTGTTTCCTTACAGTCCAGTCATCAGGGACACACTGTCAAAAACAAATTTATTAGTAATGGTTGACGATCCTATCATTTCTACCAATCTTGCGGAACTGATACTGCAAGTCCAAAGTGGTCTCACTATGGGATCAAGAAATGCAGGAGTTGGTGCACCTGGTGGGAGTCTTTTACTCACTTCAAATAGTTGCGTAACTCAAAGGTATTCCTTCAATAATGTTATTACTCATTTGAACATGACCTAATCAGACGTTTTAAGACAGAAAATGTTTTTTATATATATATGTATGTTTTGTGCCATTTCTTGCAAGACCTTAAATGCAATTAGTAATGCTCCAAATTTCAATAAATACCTATTTTAACTACCATAAAAGGTGAACTCTTAACAGATTTAGCAATTAGGGCTACCTCCCTTTTGAGTCAAGCCTTGACATACAACATATAACTGTACTTCCTAAAAGTTATGTTTTGTTAAGTTGTCAAAGGCTACATGCATTTTGTTGCCTATTTGTGATAGAAGTAAATCGTCATCTATTTTTTCAGGGCTGAGGGACGTGTGCTGGTGTTTGAATACAGGAAGGCTCCTTTCTCAATAGAAGCTGAGAAAGCTCTTGATGCTGGGATCAAGAAGATTGCTGCGGAAAATACAGTAATAAATATATATATAAATGTATTCATATATTTAACACTTATTCCACGACTGCGCATTGGATATGTGATGGTAGATAGCCCACAAGGCATGTAGTGCCTAGCTGGCTAAAATCATCTCATATCCAACAAGTGGGAATGGAATAATTTGTTTTATTAAAAATGCCCACAAAATATCAAGAATTATTTCCCACTTTATTTAAAACACAACCAATTCGGCTTGTCTTTAATTTTAAGCAGACGCATACAGTTACCATATTTGGAGAGCATGGTCTAATGGCTCATATACCATGATAGCTGTGCCAATCAGAGCTCTAGAATTGGACTATCCAATGATTCCGTTTTTAATAAATATATATGATACAGACAAATTATGTTTAATGGTGCTGCTTGAAAGTATTCATGACATTTCACACAGGTTAAAAACAAAGCAAATTAAAATGATTAATAAAAGAAATTTCCCATCCATGATCAAAGGGTTAAGGATGGAAAATAAAAATAACTAAATTTCCCCAGGAGTATGGAGATTTGCTAGAAAAGTACAAATAACACATGCACACACACACACCCACCCACACATACACACACATTTCCAACACAGTATAGCCCGGATAGCTTGAAGTCGGAAGGGAAACAACAAAAAGTTTGATGTAGAGATGAATTCTATTTCTCGGAGTAAATTTCAGTGAAGTTTTGATCAAGGGAAAGCAAATTAACTTTGAGATAGCTGGAAATTTGAGTTATCAAGGTTCTTCTGTATATTTATCAGGGTATTACTTGCTATGACAACAATTTATGACCCTTCCTTTAAAATACTATTCACCTCAATAACATGGAAAACCTACTGAAGCTGCTCCATAGACTAACTTCGCAATGCAAATTTTGTATGATATATGTATATATTTTCATTTCAAATATCTCTAGGGGTTTCTTCTAGCCTGGGCAATAAGAATGAAAAGCTTATGGCAGCAAGTCATGCCAGACATTGTTGCTGACATTAGATCAATACTTGATGTATTGTTGACAAGAATGCAGCCCAGGTGGACCAAAGGGATGGCTGGAGTCATAGCAACTCATGCTATTGTAAGTTGACGAATATCCCTATATTCATTGTTAACTTTAATCATTGAGATAGTATCAAGTGAATTTGAAGAATCTAACACACAGAGCAACACATCTTCCTTTGATGCTACGACACTCAGTTCCCATATCCCCGAGATGGGCTAGCTAACAAAGATGGCACAGAACGTTTGACCCTGTAAGTCCCAATAGTGACAAACATCATAAAATAGCATTAAAAATTTAATAACATTATCATTCATTTCCAAATAGTTTCATGCTTCAGTTGGTATTGACCCAGATACCAGCAAAATTGTCTTGGAAGTTTTAAACCAGAACACAACTGTCCAGAAGGAGAGCGCTATCACCAGACTACAGCGCAGCATACTATCCAAATTGGAGACAGACGAGTCAAATGTAAGTTCATTGAGCAATTGAAATGGAAAATAATAAATGGTCAACATATCAGTCAAATAACATTCAACGTGTTTCAAAAATTTCTGTCAGAGCCCTTTTGGTCATCTATGCCTCCAATAAATTTTTGTTAAGTGATGTCTATCCCCATGTTATAGCAGATAGTGACTTACTTACTAGCATAAAAGTTATTGGACTTCTATGTTATCATCAATTGACAGCTTTAAAAAAAATTAGGGTACCACTATCCATTAACCAATGTCACATGACCATAAAGTCACGGCCTTGGTTTCAATTCAGTTGTGTCCATATGACAATGCCAATGTAGCTACCGGTATGTTTGAACAAGACTCATCAAGAATCATTCAAATTCTCTTAGTTTAAAGCACAACATAACACTTAAAAGCAGGGTTGTCAAAAAGATTTCAAGTTGGCGGGTAAATACATCAAGTACCCAGGGAATCAAACATCTGAGGGAGTTTCTCTTGGTTCTATTTTTTTGCTGTTTTCTTTTGAAAGTAACCAGGGGGCCACGTTTATAGTAGTCAGGGAAAATCGCTGGCCCTACCTGTTAACGACAGCACTGCAAGAATGGAATGTAACGGTAATAGTTTCAAGCCGTACATAACCTCTCTTGTTTATACTCTCATGACTTGAAAGACATGTAAAATAAATCAGAATATGGACACTCAGATGACAATGGCTCCAAGCTTGAGAATGGAGGTATTTGAGGGATAACTTTCTTTGTTGATGAGGTCTCACTGAATTACAGCTGCTGCTCAATGCTCTTTCAAGAGTGTGCAGTTAGTCGATGGAATTATTATTTGGATAATTAAGTTGTTTACTTTTCACAATGTTAGGTTCTTTGTTGGATAAATCCCCTGGTTAAAGTGTCCGTCAAAGACAAGTTTGTGGCATCTATTGGCATAAAAGCTTCTGTGTTGGAAGGATTTTCACAGACTTCTGTGAGGGTAATACGTATAAAAAGTATTTTTCTAGTACAAATTATAATCCGGATCATAGGCAAATATATTTAAGCACTGGACTTTTATTTTTTCCAAGGATACTTTTCCAAAATAGGGAATAATACATGTAGTAATACAGATAACTGAACAAAATACAGAAATGTTACCTTCAATATTTTTTAAATTCTTAAAAAAATGCACAAGATCTTGTTCCAAGTTGCATGCAGCTGTACTGGCAAATAATGCACACAATTTTCAAATCTGACAGAGAAAAAAAAAATTCGTATTCGTAGGTGTTTACTCTAATAATTTATTAATATCATTTTAGGAGATTGGCAACTGGCTCAGAGAAGTGACAGATTGCAAGAAGAGCATGTCAATATCCTTCGCAAGTAGCGAGTCGTGCACTGTTGACGACTTAAAAAAAAGAAATGACAAGTGCAAGTCATACAGGGGCTGGAAAGTTCCATTAATGTTTTTGAGTGCAGATGTTTTGGAAAAATTAAAAGGTAATTGCAATATATTACCTTTTTTTATTACTGGCCAGTACAATTCGTATTAACATAAATAACATTATTTTTATGAAAAAAATAAATGCTATAAATTGCATGTAATGTTTGTTTTCATTTCTCCGTTCTTTCTCACTCAAGGTTAGGGATGAATAACACTGTGAGTCTTAATTTTAATAGAACGATGTGGATCTAGCCTCAATGCATGTGCTGATCACAGAGAGAGCAGTAGTGATGAAGAAGTCGGGGAAGTTGCTGCCCCTTCTGCTTCAGTAAGCAAGTTTGAGGATTTTCAGGGCCAACTCCATGCTATGGATTTGTATTTGTTGAAATATTTTAAAGGTATGTATACAATCGGGTTTTAAAAACCTGTTCCCCCAAAATAGGCAAAGTGTGTGGTATTTGCATCCAGGTACCATTGTCTTTATATTTTATTTTTCCTGCATATATCTGATGAAAACTGTATAAAATTAGATAGTAATAGGAACTGATTCAATTTCATTTTGTCTCACATAATCTCCACAAAGTTCTTGTGTTGAAAAAGGTGTAACCCCACCAAACTAATAAGTAATTAATTAATTAAAAATAAGGCAAATTGACAATGTTTTTGTTTGGTTATATGCCTTGTTGTCCATTTTAAAGCTGAATGTTATGGTTCTCTTCGTATTAGATAATGAACCACAACCGCAAGAAGAAAGGGAAACTGAAGCTATGGAGCTTGAGAATTTTACGGATGTAAGTAGTTCATTTTGTTGTAAAACTTCGCTGTTTTTTGGGGGGGGGGGGGAGGGAGGTTCAGGGACACTCCCTTATCAGATGGGGCCGAATGTTTACCAGTGCTGTCACTCATTCAACTTATTTAAGGATGTTAAAGTGGCGGATACAATGGTTTTGGGTTGCGACCCCAAGTTGTATGGAAAATAAGAAACAAAGTCAAGGTCTATAGAAAAAAAAAACATTTAATGGCAATGAACTTATATAATTATATAACTTATATTTGCATACCTATCCAGTCCTAGTATGCTCCTCAGTTTTTGATGATTATTTTGCAGAAGTTAACTCCAGATAGCAAAAAAGTTTTCTCCAATTGCACTCCGAAAAGCAGGAGCTTTTTCAAAAAGGTGAGTTTTTTTGCAATTAAATAATACTTTTTGTGTGGCTTACAACCTTAACAGAAATAGGGTCCATGTTATCCATACCTCCAACAGGGTATTGATTGATTGGGTAGTGTGCTTTCTTAAAAAAGGTTAGACAGTACTAAAGTTGTCCCTGTTGACTGAACATGGTTTTCTTGATTTCAATTTACCTCTAGGGCTTTGAAGCAGCAAAACGACTCCAGGTGGATAAAGCCCCAAGCTGTTCAAATGCATTGACAGAACAAGAACAGACCCCTGTCCCTGCAAATAAGGCCAATGAGACAGCAGGTGATTGTTCGGTTTTGCATACTAAACAATAGTGGGTGATGATCATGCTCTGTCTTTTCGAATAATAGTAATTTTTATTATACTTGTGAAACAAAAAAATGATTTGTTTTCATCTGATCCAACATCTAAGGTACCCGGAAACGATTGTTCTCTCCTGGATGCATTGGGGTTTTACCACGACAAGGTAATAATATTCAACCTTATCAGAGCAGCAGTGCTGACAAAAATTGAAACAAAAATGGCATTGTAATATCCCACATTTTCAATAATGACATAGACTGAAAAATCTATTTTTTACACTGATAGTAAAATAATTAGTAATAAGGTTGCCACATTTACTACAGCTTTGAGGAACTTAATCTCTTCCATTTTAAAGGCCTAATGATGCTAAAAAATGTTTGAAATCACGAGGAGTTGCAAGTGATCTGTGTCAATTAACATTTAATTGATGATCCAATGTAACATGTTGAGCTTAACTGAGAGGTAATTGCAGTAGTCACATCATTAAATGATTCAGTGCATTTTGTGTCAACTAATTTACCCCTTTCTTGAAATTGTAGCAAAGAGCTCAAAACAAGAAGTGTGTGCCAAATGCAACAAACAAAGCCCATATAAAAAAAAGGACTGGTCAGGCTTTTGGATCATGTGTGACACATGTTTCAAATGGTACCACAAGTAAGTTATTATCACCATACATGTATACGGAAAGCACTATCACATCTGTTTTCTCATTAGCTAATAACCTACTATTACTTCATGACTATGATGAAAACCTCATGCAAAATTATTTTGTTGACTGTGTGGCATTTGCACTTTCAGTAATTATTAGTTAATGACGTCCATTTCCATCAAACAAATCTCAGGGACTGAATGGTCCAGAAGACTTCAAGGCTGTTAAAACACACCAAAATCATTTTCATGATGCAATGAACTAATATTAAAAGGAGAAATGTGTCAAGGTAATAGAGAGGAAATATTGTAATATGTTAGTGAGCGAACATGTTTTTCTCTATTGTCAATCCACAGAGAATGCACAAATGTGAAAACAATGCCAAAAGAAGATGAGAAATGGGAGTGCCAGGGATGTAACAAGAAATCTTAATTCAAGAAGTTTGCATGGTGCCAAGTTGTTATTAGTGTCGTAAGATGTATAGCTGTTATATACCTGTGTTACATACAGAGGCAATTTTTTTTATAGCTTTGAAAATGATACAATAAAATTTAGCAACAAAATGGTCATGAACCAAGACCCACTCGACTTTTCCGTAACTTTTTTTAAATGTTGCTTTTGGACCGTTCAGTTTCCAAGACTTCATTTCCAAAACAAGACAAGGAAGAACATTTGCCACATGTTTGCGAGTTTCAAACTTATGCACAAACTTCCCAAATATCCAGGGGTGGGGGGTACTCCGGATTTCAAGTGATAGGGATGATTGAATGGGGGCAAAAATCAAAACCTAAAAAAAAAAAACCTATAGCTTCCAGCAAAACCAAAAAAAAAATCTCCCAACCAAAATTTAAGCCCACAAAAATCCCATGCCTAATTTTCGAGCCATAACAATGTATTCACGGAACTAAGTGGCTGGGATAAGTAGGAACTATGACAAATCTTCAGGTTGTTTTGAATACCCAAAAAATCCCTACTGAAATCAAGTTAACCCAAAAAAATTTTGCAACCCACAAAAAATCCTTCCATCACTGTTACTTGAAATCCAAAGTACCCCCGGAGTACCCCCAACGTTTATTTCACATTGACTAAGATACATACTTAGCCATATATCGCTATGGTACATGTAATAAAACAATGATTGCACAAACAGTGGGCCCCTCTGTGATATCAAGTCATCCTGGCAGATTCTCGGTTACATTAGCTGTGGTCACACTACAGACTTTTTACCTTTTACTTTTTACGCTCCAAAAATTCAACTGGCGTGAAAATATTGGGAGCCGATATCAGTAGTGTAACCTTCCCAGAATTTTTACCTAGGTAAAACAAACCCCGAGATGAATTTACCTAGGCAGATTTTTGATAAATTGGCCCTAGGTAAATCAGTTTTACCTAGGTAAAAGTCTGTAGTGTGACCACAGCTATTGATATTAGAATTTGTTGGAGCTCGTCATACTTTAGACGAGTGCCGACATCCATAAAGGCAGAAGACAAAACTGTTTTGTACAAGAGATCACACTTTGGTACAATTCACAAGGTTGTACATGATGTGACTAGCACTTAATGCAAAATAACAATTTAACCTACCATTGAGTATATACAATACTAACTGGAAATAAAATTTTAAGCTCTAACTGATACGGTACTGTATTCTAATGCGCAACAGGTTCATATATAAACCGCATGTACTTGTCCCTTTTAACTTGAAAACCTTCTGGGAGTCTCTTTTTCAAATTCAACAATTGCTTGTGTACTATCATCTCATTCTGGTAGAAGTCCATGAGGAAATTAAATAAAAAGTGGGTTCCAAAGCCCTGGACACAAGCACTTTGTAGTCTCTTCTTGTTTTTTCTGTTATTCTCCGCTTCTTGATAGCTGGTCTTCAGTGCATTAGCCTGCAGGCACAGATTGATATCGTGGAAATTGCACAATGGTGACTTGTGTGGGTTGGTGGTAGAATGGAACCTATCGCCAAGAATATACCTTTGTGATGAACCAGTTATGGGATGAACCCACTTGTCTTCAGTTTCCTCAACCTGAACATCTACAGAGACTGGTTTGAATTCCGCTGGAACTATTTCTGGCACATTGACACCCTAACATGAGAGAAAATCATACATGAATATTATTCATGTCCACACACACACACACGAAAAAACCCTTGATAGACTTCATAACAGAGAGAATTTGCAATTTGATGCTTCAGTAACCTTGCATCATAATTTTTTCTGCCCAACATTTGTTATTTTACCGCTTTTGTTTGACTTTGTTCAATGAATACATGTTGAAAAGAAAAAATAAGTAACAATTACTTAGCACGACTTTTGAAATGAAAGACCCCTAGGGCGTTTTTGAAGCTGTTCAAAGCACTCCTGGCATGTTTTTTTTTTAAAACCTGTGACATAAAGCAGTGGTATGAAAAAATGTTTTAACAATGTCTCTTAATAATTCAGAATCCTTTTCCATTACTCATAAAATCAAAACGTTTTATCCTTTTTACATTTATTTAGCAAACAGTAACAAAGTACCTCTTTAGGCATTTTTTCGATGGATGGTACCTCGAAGCAACCACTGTTGCTTCCCCACAATTTAGAGGCTGTGGTTTTGTCCCTACAATCCATGTGTCGAACAAATCCACACGGGGTGTCGCAGACAAAAATGGGTGGGGGGTACTTGAGTGACAGGTACAGATCCGCAGCATCGCGAACTGATTCTTGTAAGGTGAGAAACTTGGATGCCACAGTTACCTAATAGTTTAATGAAGTGAAATTAGCATGTGTTAATTTGGCCCAGTGTGAATATCAAACTTTTCATTTACAGTGAAACCCCGCCTGTATTACTGTATAGTAATACAGTAACCTCGTTGTTACAACCACTTTTTTGGCCGCCTGGCAAAAACTGCCATACATTTTCTTGTTTAAAAACCTCGTTAAAACGGCGACCCCGTTAATACAGCCATTTTTTTAGGCACATTTAAGTGACCGTACTAACTGTGTTCCATTGTGCTGAATTTAATGCTAATATATATTTAGGCTGACGACCTTACAATCGATCAAGACATTCAAGTTACTTAAACAGACTCAATTCATTTCCACAATGTGCAGTGTTCTATCAAAAGTCTCTGATGTGGGCCACTCTAACTTAATCCATGGGTTGACCCAACTAAGATATGTCAGACTTATTTGATTCAAATGTTGATCTTTTATGTACATAATACTGTACTATAATGTAGAGGGGTTTGGTTCGGTCAGTACATGGCAATTTCTATGGTTGAACTGGGCCTCAATAAAGACTATGCAGTCACCCCCCACTGAGGTGGTATGTAACATACATTTGAACCCCTCATGTCAGTACTAGCTAATTAAGAAAGAAGTTAAAATAATTAGCATACGCAGATGCTGATTTGTTATAATTCCAACTCGTTACACGTAAATCATGTTCTGCTACCTTACAGTTAACCAAGACCTTTGCGATGCAAATTTAAACCTTACTAAACCGAATGAGGCCCACATATACTTACCCCATGCCTACAGACCAAGTGGTAAAACCCACCAGTCTTTCCTGGAACTTGTGTGAAACCATGACAAGGGCAATTGCCAAGCAGCAATGTTGCATACAGTTGCTGTAAGTCGCCCCTCAAACATTGCTAGAAAAGAATTTACATGTATTAATTATTTTGGAGAAACACCAGTTCTTCTATATTTCTACCCAACACAACTGAAACCACATCAAGCATAATTCTGCCTTTCTATTACAAACCCTAATTACTTTAGATTTGATCAGGGCCCATTGTAATTTGTTAAGAATGTGAATTAGAAATGCATGGATTATAGAGTATGAAAGATCTATCATACCAATTGAAAATATATATTTCAAATTTTGGTTCATTAATTTTTAAGCATATTTGAACAAATTATAATCGGCAATGATAATCTTACTGCAGGGTTAATTCTCATTAAGTGCGGGCAACCAGCTTAAAAAAAAGGCTATACTTTGAGGTCTGAGCCGTCTACTTTTGGGGGAAATGGATATAAAGGGAGGGAGTGAAAGCCTCAAATTGCCCACAGCAGATGATCGCAAAGCCATCTAGTTTTACATTGTCTACTTTTAAACGTAATGAGAACCCTGTTACTGTAATACATGAAACAGGTGGAAAATGGGTCTACAGGAAATGACAATTGAAATGTGTAAAATGTATTCACAAACATAAAAATAAATGTATTCATTACTGGAGATACCTGAGACTTGCTGGAGGTGACAGGAATGTCAGATTTCTCACAGAGGGCCCGTAATTCCTGCAACGATAGTTCTTCAAGGGATTGCATGTCAACATCAAAATCACGAATCTGGATGTGAAGTTTGGCAGGGTCACCTAAACAAGACAGAAATGAACAAAAAGTATATAAGATTACTACCATATACTGTATTCTAAAAGTGAAAAATGGCCATTTCAAAAGTTTAAGATAGGCCACAACCTGTGATCAGCCCAAATTTAAGCAGCTTCCCTATATCCCTTTTAAATAAATGTTATGTGCAAGCTAATTGAATGACTACCATGTAGAAACTGGCCATTTGGCATGGAAAAACTAAGACACCAGGGACACCATATCCTGTTCAGATGACAGCATTTAACTTGCTGTTGAAACCAGTAGTAAATGACTTCCCCTTCTTGATGTAATAGTTAAAAGGAGATGGTGGAGTGAGTCTAGAGTCACAACAACATACATTAACTATAAATATTAACTATAGACATACTACAATAATCAAATATAATGCACTTCTAAACATTTATACAAAATATTATCCACTTAAACATTTGTGGTATATACATAACTAATAGTCAAATACATTAATTTGTACCATCTATGTTAACATGCTTTCATACCTTCCACCGTACTCTTGCCCTTGCTAAGAGAATAGGTCTTCTTTTCACCTTCAGTGTTGAATATGGCTTCCCCTCTCATCTTCCGAGGGATGATAGGAGGAAGAGAAAATGCATCAACAGAAAATGG